TCTCGGATTCTTAAAAAGGTCTCAATAACCCGGCTTCTCCTCGCCCTCGCGGGCGGATGCCCAAACCCCGCGGGTCCCTCCGGATTGGCGGCTGGGGATAGGGACGACCCTCTGGACCCTGGACTGGCCCGTCGCAGCGCCCAGTACCAGGCTGCAGACGAAGAGTCGGCGCGGGGTGGGGGGTGGGGGGTCTCTCCCCGGCCCTTGGGAGTCTCGGTTTCTTTCTGTGCAGAGGGAACTCAGACAAGGAGGCTGTCGTGCTTCTGGCTCTGACTCCCGCGGGTCCCTGACCCCGGGCTCGAAGCTGGGCGCCAGAACGCGGACGTGGGTCCGGGGAACCCCGCCCCGCCTGAAGCTGTCCAAAAGAAAGGCGCACGAGTGGGCGTCTGCGAGCTAAATGCAACGTGCGGAGCCCGGGGGTGCGACGCCCCGGCCCACCCCGGACCCCTCCCCGCGGGCTGTCTGGCCCGACAAGTGGACAAGCTTGGTTGGGCACATGGGAAAAAGAAAGCCACGCGTGCACCTGCAGACACACACTGTCACACTCAGACGCGCACCGCGCCTCGGCCAGCGGAAGCGGTGGCCTCTCTGGCGGAGTTCCCTTGGGAAGGGAGAGCGGCCAGTCTGCGCCTCCCGGTGACGGTGCTGAGCGTCCATCCCAGGCGGCGCCGTCTGCCGGGAATGGGGCAGGTTTGGCTGGCAGGAAAAGCTTGATCCGCTAGGGCGGGTTCCAAGAGTCCCCAGCGCCCCTCCCGCAGTAGCTGGGGCTGTCGTTCCCCAGGGACATGGCCAGGCCCACAATGCCCGGGAGCTGGGGGAGGGGAAGCAGAGGATCGGACGCTAGACTCCGTTAGGCCCAGACCCAGGGTGTGCTCTTTCTGTTCTACCCCAGCGGACATGGAGACGCGGAACGGCCCCAGGACCCCCTTTCTGGACCTAGCAACGCCCCAAGGCTCCACTCCCAGCCGCTGCTCTCCGGGCACAAGGGTATTGATGATTTGAGTCCTTAGGGACCCGGCTTGGCCCCCCAAAACCTCGGCCTGTACCCTGCGAATGCCCAGTCCAGTCAAGCGACCCAAACCGAATTCTCTCCGGGGCTTGTCCTGGCCTCCTACCAGTTCAGGGCCCGGTCGGAGATCTGGGGACACCAGGCACGGTCCATTGTCCACTACGGGACCGCGGCCGGACCTCCACCTTCCCCTGGGCTCTCCCAGCCTTC